AAAAAAAAAAAAGAAAAGGAAATAGGCTAAAGAATACAAACATATTCTGAGAAAGTAATATGTTTGTATGTATGGCCTCTCTTGTACTATTTTGTACATGATTTGGGGCCTTGCCAGGATGACTATCTGAGCCCTCTTAAACAAAATGAAGAGAGAAAAACATGGGGCCCTTTTGTATCCACTCCACAGTAAAATCAGATAGGCAAATTCATAACGTACACTGGAAAGTGGACAGAATGCACTTTCCAGCAGCGTGTAATCTGTTACAAACATACGCAGCAGTTTAACTGCTAGATAAATGCCCATTCAGTAACAGAGCCTCCGAAGTATGACACAGGTTAGCACAGGCTTTAAAGAGCCAGCAGAATAGGAACACATTCTATAAGTCAGATTTTATTCCATTAGAGTGGCCCTAGGAATGCCAGGGTTCACTTCATGCCATTCAGATGGGCAATATTTACAGGACTTCGATATTGTATAGATGATCTTGACAGCTTATATTCTGCAGGAGGTAAAGAAAGAATGACAACTCAGCTACTTAATTATGACCACTTGGGGAACCATGGGAATTGGCTTGGGAGCTGGAGATAAAATAGTTTAGATAAAATAAAATGTGATCATTGGTGTAGGAATAAAATATGCTCTATACATTTCTCTTCATGTGTAACAAATTTAAACACTTAAAATAACTTTGTAATTCCTTTTTAAAAGCCTACAGTTCAAATTTTAAATTAAATCGTCTAGCTAGGATAGAATCACTTTAATTTCTTTTGGAGAATTTTCATTAAGACCAGAAATACTCACTTAAAAGTGCTGTGCCACAAGTCTAACACAGCCAGCATTGTAGGGTTCATGGCATTCAAATGATCCCTAATATAACTCCTTGTAGATAAAAAAGATTTCCTCCATGGTTTTGGCAGAATTTCCAATCTAGAAAAAAGTCAAAACAAAATTTAATTCTTTTCCTTAAAATGTAAAAGAAACCATTCTTACAGTCAATGTATATTCATAATAATAACAGAATCACTTTAATAAATAACATGCTCCAAAGTATATAAACATTGGGTGACGAGAAAGGCAACATATAAGGGCTTCATTATGCACTGTATTTCATTTATTAATCAATACAATATTACTGTTTTAAAACAAAATGCCTATGAATGGTTGAAGCAAAATGCCTTGTTATTTGTAAACTTTTATTCAAATAATTTTTAAATAAAATATATAAAAGTCCTACTCTTCCTAGATTAATATGAACTTGTATCTTTAAAATTAGTAAGAATAGACTTGAAGTTTAGCTGCACAAGATATTGTTGTGTTCTCTGCCTACTTAATATCCTCTAGGAGAAACAACAGTCAGCAATCTTTCACATCTACTTCAAAAGATTCTATACTCATTTCAGGAGGGTCACCTATGAGAACCAACTCAAAGGTAATGGTTAATTTTAATTCAGTTTTTCAGTTATGGCTATACTACCTGTATAACGATAAAAGATTATTTTTTATTTTTCCCTAAGAAAAGTTATTTTCCACAGAAATTATGTAGATATTGTTACAAGCCTTCCCCTACTCCCAGCCTCAGTCACTATGAGAAACAACTTGGGGCACTCTGAAGGCTATCAAAGAAAAGAGTTAAGCTTTAAAAAAAGTTAAGTTATAAATCTACATTCCAGTCTTCAGTTTATTCATGAGATGCATGCCTAAATGTTAATTCTTTTATAGGCAAAAATTATATGAAGTGGCTTTTCTTATTATGTGTTCTATTTTTTAATACATGTAATGAAATATATTTTATACATACATACTTTCTACAATGCTTCCAATTTGGGGGGGGCATGCAAATTACTATCCAGCACTTTTTTTTTCTTACATTGTAAATAAGCTAGGAGCTGTGGTGATATAAAAATATATAGGTCAAGGCCCCCCTGTCAAGGTACCTACACTTCAATGATCTATGAGCTTTGGCAGCATAGTAGTAAGGAGTTGTGCTGCCAACCCAAAGGCAGGCAGTTTGAATCCATCAACCACACCATACGAGACAGACAGATAATCTCCTCCCATGTGACTTACAGTCTCTGAAAACTTGCTTCAGCGTCTGCTGTGAGTCAGTTCCAACTTAACAGCACATACCAATGTGTCCATGTCTATGTGTCTGTCTACCCAGCAATTTCAACAAGTAATATGTCACAGCTTAAGAACATTAAAATATAAAACAGTCCCAGAAAACAAATTATATGAAGTTAGTTTAGTGTAAAAAAATTTATAAGACTTTTCTCTTCAATACAGTTACCTTACTTGAAAGCAAAAAGCACAGCAACTGACAGTAGTTCTAGTAGAAAGATCCTACTAAAAGAATTGCTTAATCTAGGACATCCCACCTGAATTTCAGAAACATCTCAGGAACAGGTTTGAGGCCGTGAACACCAATGAGCAAAGACCAGATGAGTTGTGGGAGGGTATCAAGACTATCATCACCCGGGAACAGTGCAAAAGGTCATTACAAAGAGAGAGGAGGAAGAAAAGACCAAAATGGACGTCAGAATAGACTCTGAATATTGCACTGGAGTGCAGAGAAGCTAAAGCAGAAGGAAGAGTTCAAGATACTAAGGAGCTGAACAGAAGATTTCAAAAGGCAGCGCAGGAATACAAAATAAAATATTACATCGAAATGTGCAAGGAGCTGGAGTCAGAAAATCAAAAGGGCCAAACTTGCTCAGCATTTCTTAAGCTCAAGGAACTGAAGAACAAATTCAAACCTTGAGTTGCTATAATTAAGGATGCTTTCGGCAAAAAATTAAATGATGCAGAAAGTATTAAAGAAGATGGAAGGAGTATACAGAGTCACTGTATCAACAGGAATATGAGCAACAGCCTATGGTGATGAAGGAAGAAGTTCAAACTGCTTTGAAGGAATTAGCAAAAAAATAAGGCCCCAGGAACAGATGGGAAACCAACTGACATGTTTCATCTAATTGATGCTGCCCTGGATGTGCTCACCAAGTTGTGCCAAGAAATCTGGAAGACAACCACTTGGCCAACTGACTAGAAGAGATCTATATCTGTTCCCATTCCAAAGAAAGGTGACCCAACAGAGTGTGGAAATTATAGAACAATATCAATGATTTCACACACAAGCAAGATTCTACTGAAGATTATCCAAAAACGACTGGAACAGCACGTCAGCAGAGAACTGCCTGAAGTGCAGGCTGGGTTTACAAGAGGTCATGGTACTAGGGATATTGTAGCTAATGTTAGATGGATCTTGGCTGAAAGCAGGGAGTACTAGAGGAATGTTTATCTGTGTTTCATTGACTATGCAAAGGTTTTTGACTGCGCAGATCATAACAAACTGTGGTTGACTCTGAAAAGAATGGGAATCCCAGAACACTTGATCGAGCTAATGCAAAACCTATACTTGGACCAAGAGGCAGTTGTCAGGACATAGCAAGGAAACACTGCATGGTTCAAAATTGGGAGGGATGTATACCAGGGATGTGACCTGTCTCCATATCTTTTCAACCTGTATGCAGAGCCGATTATCCAGGAAGCTGGGCTCTATGAGGAGAAATGTGGTGTCAGGATTGGTGGAAGATCTATCAAGATGACACAACCCTGCTTGCTGAAACTGAGGAGGACCTAAAGTGCTTGCTGCAGAGGGTCAAGGACTGCAGCCTTAAATATGGATTAAGGCTCAATATCAAGAAGACAAAGATTCTCACCACTGGACCAATTGGCAGCATCAGGATGGATGGTGAAGAGATTGAGATTGTTCACAGCTTTAGTTTGCTTGGCTCCACAGTCAACACTCTTGGCACCAGCAACCAGGAAATTAAAAGACATATTTTGATGGGAAAGTCTGATGCTAGGGACTTCTCCAAAGTACTGAAGAGCAATGGTGTCTCTGTGGAGACTAAGGTGTGTCTGATACAGGCCATGGTCTTTGTAATTACTTGTTATGCATCAGAGAGTTGGACAGTGACTAGGGAGGATAGAAGGAGAATTGATGCCTTTGAGCTGTGGTGTTGGAGAAGAGTAATGAGGGTATCATGGACTGCCAAGAAAACAAACAGATTCATCCTGGAAAGGGTTAAACTGGGAGACTCCCTGGAGGCAAGGATTCTGAGGCTTCGTCTGACATACTTTGATCATGTTGTAAGGAGAGACTGGTCCTTGGAGAGAGGCATCATGCTTGGGAGGGTGGAGGGCAGGCACAGAAGGGGTAGGCCTTCTATGAGGCGGATTAATTCAGTGACTGGGGAAATCGGGATAGGTGTATCGGAGACAGTGCGATTGGCACAGGACAGAACAGAGTTTAGTGCTGTTGTACATAGGGTCGATATGAGTTGTAAGTGACTTGATGGCACATAACAACAACAACAACAAGCATCCACTTGTTTATCTTGATTCTTCTATGCCAATGTAGTAGTCTTTTATGTTATTTCTGAATTTCTAATCTATTAAGGCAGTAAATGATTTGTTTTGCACCTGCTGAAATTGTTGGCTGCATTTACCATAATTTAAAGATTTGCCAATGATGTACAGTTTAATGGTTAAAATTGCTGTGGTTGGTTGCATTATAAGACACAGAACTGTCCTACCTCACGTGAAAGAAATCTTTTATATGGTTTTATAAACCAAACTCATCTACTTAGGCATTTAGTTTACAAATTTTGAATTCTATTTATTGAAGCATAACATACTGTGCTTTTCACTTATACTTCGATTCATGCCTTGTAAATAACTTGTATGGGTTGTGGATTAAATTCCAAATAAAACCTTGTAATGCCAATGAAATGGATTCCAATAAAAAAAATAAAACAGTCAGAATAATCCACTCTTAATATTTATATAATATCTATGTATTGCAGATACATGGCAAAATTCAACTAGTGCATAGGTACACACAGACATAGAGACACCTGAGAGAAATGGCTATGTAATGAGTATCTTAAAGAAGGCTGATCACTTACTCCGCACGATGAGGGGGGAGTTCATCTGTCTTCTTATCTTCTTCTTTCTCTCTAGGATCTTTTAAAACAAAATCAACTACAAGAAAATGGAAAGGCTCTTATAAGTAACTTTATCAGTGATATTTCCATTGAAAATTGGAAAAGAAAACTATGAACTTTTGGTTTGGGGGTGTTTTATAAGGCACAAGCTGTGATTTTGTGGATGGAAAAAGACTTACATAGTCACATTCTTGAAGGAAGGGTCCATTTTGAAGGAAGAGATTATGTTTTATGTAACTAATGCCTTACAAAGTAGACACTCAAATATCTTGAGAGACTGAAATGACATTTTTATCATATTCTTCAGTTCTCTCCTTTGTTGAGGATATGTATCATCAATGTACTGCACTAGGCACTGAACTAACAAAACAGCCATCAAAGAAATCAGTGAAAGATAATGCATATCAAAGAGTTTCCAACAGAGGAAATCACTTCTAACACAAATACTATTTTCTCTTTAGTTAAAATGAATATCCCAGTTAGAAAATAGAGAATTATCAATGTACCGATGGATTTTTTCACACTAAGAAGATAATCTTCTCTCACTTCTTCAGATAGTGTGTGTATGCTGTCAGAGAGGACCTTCAGATGTTTGGGGACTAAATTCAACACATGTTCTAGCCAAGAGTCTTCCATTGGGGCTATATGGTCTGTATCAATTCCATGGTGAATATAATAGTAGTATCTCTACACAAAGGAGACAGAGGACATAAAGAAAATTTATTAATAAAATAAGGTTTGCTGAACATCAAACTACTATGCAAAATTAGTTTTACTAAAGGATTTATCATGAAGTAGGTAAAGGTGTTTAGAATCTATTTAGGGATTGTAGGAGATCTGTTAAATTAGGAAAAAAAGATATTTCATAAAAATTAAAGCTCTTATCCTCAATTCACAACTATTCTGAAAAATAAATGACTACTAGCCATGCATGTGATATACTTAACATGTTAATGATGAATCAGTGTTATTTGAGATTTATAAATGAGTGGAAATTGGTATGTTCACTTCAGTCATTTTAGTAGGTCTTACCAGGCTGCAACAAATTCTTATACATAAATTACAGAAATAATATTGAATGCTATACTTTTAAAACTTGAAAAAAATTTCATATTTTTTCAAAAAAATTTTTAATTGACCTATTTCATATTATAATGGCTCCAGTTGCAATTATATATATTCAAAGAACATTCATCTCAAAACAGCATTGTTTCTATAATAATGAAAATCTTAAATCTATTTTCAATTATAATGTCAATGTATTTTTACAAAATAATGTACTTTCTTACATAAAAAATATAAAATATTCAAATACTTCCAAACCATAAGTTGCTGTTTACATTTAAAAGGAATTCTAAGGGAGCTCTGGTGGCCTAGTGGCAAGAAGTTGCACTGCAATCCCAAAGGTACACAGTTCAAATCCACCAGACGCTCTGCTGGAGAAGGAGGGGCAACCTCCGTCTGTACCAGCCAGATCTGATTTGAGGATACACACCAAAAAAAAAAAACCCACAATTTTTTTAAAACTAATTCTATATATGTCAATAGTTAAAAAATCACTCTCTCTAAAGTAAGCTTTGTAAAGCATGCCATATAAAAATTAAAATAATCTCTGATAAAAAGTAAAACATGTAAAAGTTAAAGATTACAGAGACCATTTTTAACCTAGGGAGCATGTGGACTTAAGTCATCAGTGTGGTATCAGGTGGCTAAAGAAAGAACAGTTTCCTCCATTAATGAAATAAAACAATTCAATGTTTCTGCTTTCGGTGCTGTGAAGGCGCAGGAGTCATAGCAATCCTGTGAACAACAGACTGGAACCTTGCTTCTGTCTTCTAACACCCTCACGGTCTCTGTCATGCTCAAGTCCACTGCTGCAATCACTGAGTAAATCAATTTAGTTGAGGGTCTTCCTCTCTTTTGCTGACCTTTAACAGCATGATGTGATTTTTTCCCCCCAAAGACTGGTCCCTCCTGACAAAATGCCCCAAGTATTTGAGATAAAGTTTCACCACCTTTGCCTCTTTAGAAGCATTTCCTCTAAGATACACTTGTTTTTTTTTCTTTTGGTGGATGTGGGATATTCAATACTCTTTGCCAATACCACTATTCAAAGCCATCAATTCTTCTTTAGTCTTTCTTATTCACTTTCCTATTCCATGAAGCCTGTGCATTTACTCCTATGGCTACAGAAAAGAGCAGGGAATAATCTCAAAAGAATAAAATATGTGCAAGAATTTTCTTTCATCTCAAATTTCCTTACACCAACAAAAGGAACAGCCTCTTACCAGAATGTCTTTCTCTATTGCAGAAGTGGCCTTGGAAATTGCCATTTCACTGGGACTTGTATCTAAGACATCATCTTGTTGCCTAAGGAAACAATAAACATATGTGTATCACAGGCAGCTCTTTCAATCACTTGCTATGCTACTGAGAGTTAGACACTGAGCAAGGATGAAAGAAAAATTCCAGCCTTAGAACCATGGTGTTGGTGTACTGAGTATCCCATGGAATGCTGCTTGGAGACAAGGATGAGTAAACTTTGCCTCACATACTTCGGGCATGTTGTTAGGAGAGGCTATTCACTGGAGAGGGACACCATGCTACGGAAGGTGGAAGGATGGTGAAAGTGAGGAAGACCGTCAATCAAGTGAACTGAGACTACAGCAATGAGCTCAAGTGTGTCAGAGACTGTGGGGATGGCACAGTATAAAACAGGGTTCACAGCGTTGCTAAGAGTAACACTCAACTGGAGAGCACCTAACAACAACATCACAGTTAGAATATAAGACAATAGATAAAAACTTAAGTTTTTTTAATGTCTTATAAGACATCAGGACAGTTTTATATGAAAACAAAAGAAAAAATAACTCTTTAACATTCTATAAATAGTGTACATATCTGTTAGATATCATAGATTGTATAGCATTGGGAAAGTCTGCTGTCAGGGACCTCTCCAAAGTCCTGAAGAGCAATAATGACTATTTAAGACTATGGTGTGCCTGACTGAAGCCACAGTCTTTCCAATCACCTGTTATGTATGTGAGAACTGGATAATGAATAAGGATATAGGAGAATAATTGAAGCATTTGAGTTGTGGTGGTGTTGGAGAATAGTGTTTAATATCCCATGGACTTCCAAAAGAACAGACAGATATATCTTGGAGAAAGTGCAACCAGAGTGTTTCTTGGAGGGAAAGAGGGTGAAGCTTCATCTCACATATATAGGACATGTTGTTAAGAAAGTCTGTTCCTTAGAAAAAAGACATCCTTAATGGAAAGGTGGAGGGTGAGTAAAGGAGAAGATGACCCTCAAAGAGACAGACATTGATCTGCAGCAGTGGCCTCAACTGTATTGAGGATGAGGATGTTGCGGGATAGGAGAGATTTCAGATCTGTTGTTCACTGGGTCACTATGAGTAGTACTCAATTCAACAGCACCTAACAATAACAGTGTTCAAAGAGAGTTCTGGGAGGAGGCCCAAAGGCTGCACTGGTCTGGTGATTCAAATCCACCAACAGCTCTGAGGGAAGATGATGGAGAATTTCTTCCCATGAGATTTAGAGCCTCAGAAAAGTTTATAAGGTCAGCCATGTGTCGGTTCCAAATCAAAAGCAAAGAGATTTGTTTTGAGTTTGAACTGTTAATTTAATATTATACATCCATAATTATAATTTAGTTTCTAGATGTTATAAAAGTATTTTTATCATGAGAAAACAAAGTTATTAAGGTCATACATACCATAATGGAAGAATCTAAACCCAGATTTCCTGATTCATAGAGTGCAATACTGTTGTATCTCTTTTCAGTACAAATATTCTTAAGATAAGCTTTTTTTCCCAGTTAAAATAAAAAATCTTTGTGGTCTCTAATTACTTTATTCAACAATGCTAAACTTAAGTATTCTAAGACCCCATTATAACAATAATACATGGGGCAGAAAAACACAATAATTTTTAAGCTTTGAAATACATTTTAAAAATATGTAAATTTAAATGCTAAGAAAACAATCAAAAAGATGAAAAAGATATTTGATATATTTTAAAAGAAATAAAAGGGAATTGAGAAAATCCAACTTAATAAAATGTAGGAAAAGAAGTAAGGGGTAAAGGTAATATATAGAAAACAAAATAAATTGGTAGAAGTTAGGTGTACACATAAAAGAAATGCAAACAAATATGAATGGGATTAAGCATGCTATAAAATCACAAAAACACAAAATCTGGATTTTAATAATTCCATCTATCTTTTTGTTATAAAAGGAAACTGCAAAGAAAGCCATAAAACAGTAAAAAATATACATTTGTTTCTCTTAGTCCAACAAAGAAAATCCAAAAAGCTTTCCAGAACAATTCCAAGATGTATAATAATATGTTACAAAGGTTATTTTCAATGCATAGCTTTTAAAATCAAGAAACTGAATGTTGTTGTTGTTTCGTACTGTAAAGTTGCATGTGACTCATAGTGACCCTATGCACAACAGCTCTGAACCCTGCTCTATTCTGTGCCAACTTTATTGTCTCTGACACACTCACCCCCATTTCTTCAGTCACTGAATTAATACATCTTATCAAGGGTCTTCCTCTCTTGTGCTGTCCCTCCACCCTTCCAAGCATGATGTCCCTCTTCAAGGACTGGTCCATCCTTGCAACATGCCCAAACAAAGTATGTCTGAAGGAACTTCAGAATCCTTGCCTCCAATGAGCAGCCTGGTCTTACTTTCTCTGGAATGAATTTGTTTGTTCTAACAGTACATGGTATTCAATGTTCTTCTCCAACACCACAATTCAAAGGCATCAATTCTTATATCATCCCTAGTTATTGCTCAGTTTTCTGACACAAAGTAGGTAATTGCAAAGACTATCGCCTGGATCAGGTGTTGTCAGTCTGTCTCCAGACTGACTTCATTGTTCTTCAATATGCTGGAGAGGTCTCTGGCAGCAGACTTTCCCAATGCAATTCCTCTTTTGATTTTCTGGCTGCAGGTACCAAGAATGTTGATTGTGGAGCCAAGCAAACTAAAGCTGTTAACAATCTCAATCTCTTCATCATCGATCATGGTGCTACCAATCAGCCCAGTGGTTTTCTTGATATTGAGCTTCAATCCATATTGAAGGCTACAGTCCTTGACCTTCTACAGCAAGTGCTTCATGTCCTCTTCAGTATCAGCAAGCAAGGTTGTGGTATCTGCATAACATAGGTTGTTGACAAGTCTTCCTCCAATCCTGATGTCACATTCCTCCTCATAGAGCCCAGCCTTCCAGATGATCCTTTCCACATGTTGTTGTTGTTATGTGCCATCGAGTCGTTTGCGACTCATAGCGACCCTATGTACAACAGCCCTAAACCATGCTCTATCCTGTGCCAATCTCATTGCCCCTGACAAACCCATCCTGAATACCCCAGTCACTGAATCAATCCACTTCCTGCACTGTCCCTCCACTCTACCCAGCATGATGGCCCTCTCTAAAGACCTGTCTCTCCTTACAACATGTCCAAAGTATGTCAGACGAAGCCCCAGAATCCTTGCCTCCAAGGAGGAGCCTGCTTTGATCCTCTCTACGATGAATCTGTTTGTTTCCTTGGCAGTCCATGGTACATTCAATACTCTTCTCCAGCACCACAGCTCAAAGGCATCAATTCTCCTTCTATCCTCCCTAGTCATTGTCCAACTCTCTGATGCATAACAAGTGATTGCAAAAACCACGGCCTGTATCAGGCAGACCTTAGTCTCCAGAGAGACACTGTTGCTCTTGAGTATTTTGGAGAGGTCCCTAACCACAGACTTTCCCATCGCAATACGTTTTTTTATTTCCTGGCTACTGGTGCCAAGAGTGTTGACCGTGGAGCCGAGCAAACTGAAGCTGTAAACAATCTCAATCTCTTCACCATCCATCCTGATGCTACCGATTGGTGGAGTGATGAGAATTTTTGTCTTAACATTGAGCCTCAGTCAATATTGAAGGCTGCAGTCCTTGACCCTCTGCAGGAAGTGCATGAGGTCCTCCTCAGTTTCAGCGAGCAAGGTTGTGTCATCTGCATAACGCAGATTGTTGATAGATCTTCCACCAATCCTAACGCCACGCCTCTCCGCATAGAGCCCCGCCTCTCGGATAATCTGCTCTGCATACAGGTTGAAAAGGTATGGAGACAGGACACATCCCTGATGTACACCCTTCCCAATTTTGAACCATGCAGTGTTGCCCTGCTCTGTTCTGATGATTGCCTCTTGGTCCAAGTATAGGTTTCGCATTAGCACGATTAAATGTTCTGGGATTCCCATTCTTCTCAGAGTCAGCCACAGTTTGTTATGATCCACGCAGTCAAATGCCTTTGCATAATCAATGAAACACACATAGACATTCTTCTGGTATTCTCTGCTTTCAGCTAAGATCCATCTAACATCAGCTACAATATCCCTAGTACCACGACCCCTTCTAAACCCAGCCTGGACTTCTGGCCGTTCTCTGCTGATGTACTGTTCCAGTCGTTTTTGGATAATCTTCAGTAGAATCTTGCTTGCATGTGAAATCAATGATATTGTTCTGTAGGTTCCACAGTCAGTTGGGTCGCCCTTCTTTGGGATGGGAACAAATGTTGACCTCTTCCAGTCAGTTGGCCAAGTGGTTGTTCTCCAGATTTCTTGGCATAACTTGGTGAGCACATCCACGGCAGCATCTGTTAGCTGAAATATGTCAATTGGTATATCATCTATTCCGGGGGCCTTATTTTTTGCTATTTCCTTCCACATACATACTGAAAATATAAGTGGAAAGATACTGTAATTAGCTAAAACCTGATGACATGGCTGCTCTGTAGGGTGGGAGCATTAGAATTTTATGATCTCATGGGAAAGTTTCCTTAGACCTCATGAGGAATTCAACTTGTCTTCCCTTCATGAACTAGAAACCAAGATCAACTCTATCTAGGTGGTTGTTGTCAGCTGATACTGAAGGTTGTCTTCTTCTCTTTTGCTCACCCTCTACCTGTTTCATCATGAGGGCTTTGTCCAAGGATTGGACTCTCCTGTCAACATGACCAAAGTAAGTGAGAAGAAGCTTTACCACTGTTGCCTCTAAAAGCACCCAGTTACCTCTTGTCCAAGACAGATTTGTTTGTATTTTTGGTAGTCTGTGCAACAGGATACATAGGAAAGAACTGGAAATACCATGGCTTGGACCAGGCATACCTTAATCTTTAAACCGTTATCACTGCTCTTTGGCACCTTAACAAGGTCCTTTACAGCAGATTTTCCCAATGTGATATCTTGATTTCTTGTCTGCTGTTAGCATGGTGTTTACTGTCAATCCAAGTAAAATGAAATGACTGATAACTTCAATCTTTTCTCCATATATCACAATGTTGTCCATATAAATCTTCCTTATTTTTCTGCAAGCTAGTTTTTGTCTTCTGAATAACACAGTGGTTGATAAGTCTTCCTCCAATCCTGATGCCATATGCTTCTTCATAGAGTCCGGCTTCTTAAATTGTTTGCTTAGCACATAATCTGAATAGGAATGTAAAAAGGATACTTCACTGACAAACATCTTTCCTGACTTTAAATCAAGCAGTGTTCCCATGATCTGCTCATACAACAGTTTTCTGGTCTTGGTCTATCCAAATTGTCTAGGATTCCCAATTTTTTCCAACTTTTCCAATAATTTGTTACAATTTATTAGCATAGCTAATAAAACACAAGTAAACATCTTCTTGGTCTTCTCTGCCTTTATTCAATATGCATTTGACAATAGCAATGATATTCCTTGTTCCATGACCTCTTCAGAATCTAACTTGAATTTCTGGAGGTTCCCTACAAATATGCTTTCCAGGTCATTTTTAAATAATCCTCAGTAAGTTTTCATTGTATGTGATATTAATTATGTAATTTGATGATTTCTACATTCTGCTGGATCACATTTTTTAATGGGCACAAATAGGGATCTCTTCCAGTCAGTTGGCCAGGTAGCTCTTTCCAAACTTCTTGGCATAGAGTAGTGAACACAAACAGGGCTACATTTGTTTGCTGAAACATCTCACTTTGCATTCCATCAATTCTTACAACATGTTGTTGTTTTTGTTTTTTGGGGTATTTTTTTTCCCAATGCCTTCAATGCAGCTTGAATTATCTTCCTTATTATTAGTTCTTGATCAAGTGCTACTTACTGAATTGGTTCAGTGTGTCTATCAATTACTTTTTATACAGAGACCCTGAATATGCTGTTTCCTTTATCTTTCAATATTTCCCCTATAGAATCTGTCAGTAGTGTAATTCTAGCCTTGAATTTGTTCTTCCGTTATTGAACTTATGAAATCCTGAACATGTTCTCCCCTTTTGATTTTCTAACTCCCATTTTTTGCACATTTCATTATATTACTTTGGACTGCCTTTCTAAGTTGTCCTTGGAAATTTTCTGTTCAATTCTTAATTTGCATTTCTTCCCTTTGTTCTGGCTTCCTTATAAAGCAAGTTTTATAATCTCTTCTGGCATTTATTTTGTTCTTTTATTTCTTATCTGTCTTTGTAGTGATCTCTCGCTTTCTTCACAAATGATGTCATTCTACAACTTGTTTAGTCTTTGGTTATTAGTGTTCAATGCATCAAATCTGTTCTTGTTTTTTAAATTCATGTAGGATAGTTGAATATGGGTTCTTGTGGACTTGTTTTCATTTTCTTCTTTTAGTTTGGACTTGCAGATGAGTAACTGATGATCTGTTTCACAGTCACTCCCCCTGGCCTTGTTTTGACTGCTATAATTCAGCTTCTCCAGTAACTTTTTTCACAAATATAGCAAATCTGATTCCTATGTAGTACATCAGGTGAGGTCCATGTGCATAGTCACTATTTGCAATGAGTAAATCATTCACTACACAAAATTCTGTAATTTCATCTCCAGACTTATCTTTGTTACTCAAGCCATTTTATCCTACTACTAACCCTTATTCTTCTATAAAATTTATTTTATATTGGTTCACATACAAAATTAGTATACATTGTGTTTCACAATTTCCTTCATTCACACTGTGCTTTATAAAATGAATCACCATTGAACTAAGCCCACCATTACCCCATTTTTTTCAAGTCTCTACCATATTTTTCCCAGGATAACTAGTAAAATGTGTAAAGGAGTTCAAGGGAGTATGGTGTGGGAGAACATGGGTGAGGGTAGGCAGGGAGGAAATCACGTGTTCACACAATTTGAGGATGGAGAGAGGAGGTAAAGGAAATAAGAAAGACCACAAATATCTCTTATTATACACACACACGGGGGGGGGGGAGAGAGAGAGTGAGTGAGTCAGAGTCTCAATTGGCATCCCTGCAAGATAGACATCTAGCCAATTAAGTACCATAACACAGGAACACTATGTGCTGTTTATCCTGAAGGCTGGGCTCTATGAGGAGAAATATGGGGTCAAGATTGGTGGACGGTTTATCAACAATCTGCGTTATGCGGATGACACAACCCTGCTTGCTGAAACTGAGGAGGACCTGAAGCGTCTGCTGCAGATTGTCAAGGACTGCAGCCTCCAATATGGATTGAGGCTCAATGTCAAGAAGACAAAGATTCTCACCACTGGACCAATTGGCAGCTTCAGGATGGATGGTGAAGAGATTGAGATTGTACACAGCTTTAGTTTGCTTGGCTCCACAGTCAACAGTCTTGGCACCAGCAGCCAGGAAATTAAAAGGCGCATTGCCATGGGAAAGTCTGCTGTTAGGGACCTCTCCAAAGTACTGAAGAGCAATGGTGTCTCTCTGGAGACTAAGGTGCATCTGATACAGGCCATGGTCTTCGCAATCACTTGATATTCATCAGAGAGTTGGACAATGACCAAGGAGGATAGAAGGAGAACTGATGTCTTTGAGCTGTGGTGCTGGAGAAGAGTACTGAGAATACCATGGACTGCTAGGAAAACAAACAGATTTGTCCTGGAAAGGGTTAAACCGGCTGGCTCCTTGGAGGCAAGGATTCTGAGGCTCCGTCTAACATACTTTGGACATGTTGTGAGGAGAGACAGGTCCTTGGAGAAGGACATCATGCTTGGGAGGGTGGATGGACAGCACAGGAGAGGAAGGCCCTCTATGAGGTGGATTGATTCAGTGACTGGGATAATTGGGATGGGGGTGTCAGAGACAGTGTGATTGGCACAGGACAGAGCGGAGTTTAGGGCTGTTGTACATAGGGTTGCTATGAGTCGCAAGCGACTCAACGGCACATAACAACGACAACAACAACAAAATGAAACTCCATTTGTTCTCCATAAATAGCAGCTTGTGCCCTTCTGAAAGGCATCGGACTTTGAGGAGAACACTAAATAACTAGCACACAAAGATGTAAGAAAACCTGGCAAAGGGGAACTAGTGACTCGCTTTCGCACTGCTCCCCATGAGCCATCCTAGGCCGCAGGCAGGCCAAGCACTGGCTCTGCTCACACTGCTGCTGGCCATTCGTCTCAGTCCTTTTTCTGCACAAGGACAGCCACCACTCCATAAAAGTCACCATATCACCTGAACAGACAAGCAAAACAAAAACCTGCCCTACATTTTCTATGTCAGCTGTAAGCAAAAAAGACTCATAAATTCTATTCTTTCACCCCACATTAAGTATTAACATTGATACCTTTATAGTCCACAATGTTTAAAAGTGGGACACACTTAATAGGGCGATGCTCAATTTATCTTTCATCCTTTATTTATACTCTCATCTCATTTCAAAAGGTATTGAGGCATCTGTAGAGATGCATAGAATCCTTATATTTTCAGATAAAAAGTTTCCACGAGTGCCAAGTAGGATAACCCATATTGGTTAGCTTGCAAAACTTACATAATAACATTAACAAGGGCGCTTCTAAAGTTTTCTCGTTCTTTATGTAAAGCTTTGCCTCTCGATTTGGAAGTAGATGGTCCAGCATAACTATCAGTTTGGTCCGGCACTTTGCTTTTTTTTCCAAAGCTCTCCATGTATTCAGCTTAAATTTAAAAAGTACAAGTTAGTTCATTTAAAAAGAACCCATTTACATGCCTAAAATAAAATGATAAAGCACCTGTTAAGGAAGATTTACATGTTTTCAGTTCACAAGTAACTGTAAGTGCATTTTACATTTTTCTACAATTAATTAACAGATGTATATTTTATGGTATCTTACTTGAATTCTCTATTTAAAAATATGTACTTAATTTATCTTAAACATGGGTTAATGTACTAATAAATACAAAAGCATAAAATATGTTTAAATAATACCATCTGAAGAGGAACAATATTGAAATTGTAATAACAAAATGCAGAACTACTTAAGAACATTTAAAGAAGTTAATACTAATCTATTTATATTGAATGTAACCAATTTGGTAGGATATTAATATTAAATTATAATCTCTTAGATTTAAATGTAATCTGTTAGTGAAAGCTGTTAATATTAAATGTAATCAATTTGATGGATGGACAATCTCCTCTCAGGCAATTAAACTGCCTCTGAAAACCCACTGAAGAGTCAGCTATGGGTTGGTTCCAACTCAGCTACACACAGTAACAGCAATATAGTTAATAAAAGGTAAAATAATTTCTAAAAATTAGAGTGACTAATTTGAAAGCTTGAATGAATGCATTCTGGAAAAACACTCCTGAGATATAGCAGAGTCACGTTCTGATTAAAGTAAATCTATGTTTTATTTTAAACATAAAAATTCCTAAAATAGCAGCTTACATAGCAATTACTATAGCCTGAAAAACAGAAAATATTTGGGAAAACTTTTTCTACAAATATTATTTAAATACTAAAATTTTATTACTTTTTTTTCTTTAGAAAATTTCTGTGAATCTGAATATTGAGGCTCTTACCATAGGACTGTTCATTTTTAACTCTGAACTGTTCTGGAACTTGTTCATTCTGGCTTAATTTCAAATGGAAAGACGGTGCCGCCTGCTGCCACTGGGGTTTTGTACTCACCTAAAATACAACAATGCAAAAGCAATAACGGAATATCAGAAGAACTTTTGTCATGAAATCAACAACGTTAAGTTTTTGCATCATGATGGAAAGTAGGCCTAAACACTCTTATTCAAGCCCATGAATGGCCGTCGCTTGTGACATTTTGGAGACATTGCCAATGGCCTTGCCTGGTTTGATGAGAATGCCTGTTATCCAGGAATTCGGCGTTCACCACAGAGAGTCCACTCACAGCCAAGTATTGGCAAGTATTTCTTAAACCTCCACTGTAATGAAAGGTACCCTCTGCCAGTCTCCATTGTTACTGAGTTCCCTCTGCATTCCAGCTCCTACAATTCTTCCTACTGTTCTCTTGGATTTATGCTCCACAGATTGCCTTGAAAAATCACAAATATATTTCATCATCTGACAAAAACAAAAATAAACCCATTATCTAATTAACACTGATTTACAGTGACCCTATAGACTGACTAGAACTGCCCCCAAAGAGATTTTAAGAATGAACGATTTCTAGAAGTAGATTACTACTCTCTCTCCCTTCAAGTGGCTGGTAGTTTAAAATGCTGGCCTTCCAAAGGCAGCCTAGTCCTTTAACAATTGCACGCCCTGTTGGCTCACTGTTGTCCATCACAGACTTTAAATTAACCAAATGTGGATTTTCTTTAAATCCTACCTATTCTTTTTTTTTATGGTGAGAAAAATTTATTACATTTAGAATTAGCCTGCTGGACTCAGTTTAGATGATCCCAATTTTGTTGGCAACATCCAAAGCATCATTATCAGGAGCAAGTCGAACATAGGCCTTCTTCTCTCCATCAGGCCTAATCAAAGTGTTGACCTTAGTCACATCAATGTCATAGAGCTTCTTTACAGTGTGTTTAATTTGGTGCCTATTGGCCTTGACATCCACAATGAACACAAGTGTGCTGTTATCTTCTATCTTCTTCATAGCTGACTCAGTGGTCAGAGGAAATTTGATGATGGCATAGTGGTCAAGCTTGTTTCTCCTGGGAGCGCTCTTCCGGGGGTATTTGGGCTGCCGTCGAAGTCTCAGCGTCTTAGGTCGCCAGAACATGGGTGACATGCGGATTTTCTTTTTTTTTTTGGCTGTGGACGTCCTTCAGGACTGCCTTCTTGGCTTTCAATGCTTTTGCTTTGGCTTCAGTTTTGGGAGGGGCAGGGATTTCCTTCTTGACTTTCGGCGCAATCTTTGTAGAAAGCTAAATCCTACCTATTCTTAACACTAACAATTCCATTTTCGTTTGTGCATTCCTGAGATGGCAGTGTATCATCTATTTTATTTGTCTTCGCATACCCATGAAGATGGGCCAAAGGAAATGCTAACCTTTTCTTTTATAATCAGTTGACTTTGAGCCCTGTCTCACATCTTCTCAGCCTCAGCCCTGATTCTGGTTACTGTGAACTATCTTACGCTGGCTCCAACTCATGATGGGGTGGAGAAAGGCATTTCACCTCAAAACTATGTATTTTTCCTTGTTTCATGGATTTTCTCGAATGCCATAGCCTGGAACTTTAGAGGCACTCCACTGTACACATGCACACACACACATACAAGTAAGTCACCAGACTGGGTGGGGTTAACTCTCTCAAGAACTCTCAACCAGTGACCATCTCAGGTGGATAATTGTAGAAAATGCTTTAGAAAGCACTTCTTGGAAGAGCATGGCAGGGTACGACAGTTGCCTAGGGTGGAGGATATCTTGATAGCATAGGCTTCTATTGGCTTCTCACCAGCTCAGTTTTATTCTCTCCAAATTCCTGAGTCCTGCTTCTTCATGTCAGTTCCCAAATAAACCACCTAAACTCTCAGTTTTTTAAGAATAGAGGGTTAAAAACACCTTTAAAAGTCTTTCTGTTTTCCATTTGCCCTTCCAATCTTCCACTTTCATCTTGTTCCATGCGCCTTTAAAGATTCATGGGAGTACTATGAGTGAGTTTTTTTGTTTTTTTTAAAAAAGGCCCATATATGCCTTGGAGAGGTGCAGCCAGAGTTTTCCTTGGAGGCAAAGATGATAATGCTTCATCGCACATACTTTGGGCATGTTGCTGGGAGAGGCTATTCCTTGGAGAGGGACATCATGCTTGGGAAGATGGAATGTCGGCAAAAGAGAGATAGATCTCCAACCAGGTGGACTGACATAGTCATTGCAGCAATGGGCTTGAGTGTATCAGAGATTGTGAGGATGGTACAGGATAGGACAGGGTTCAGATCTCTTGTTCTTAGGTTTCTGTATGTCCTAGTCAACTCGATGGCACCTAACAACAACAAACTGACTTTAAATTCACCCTTGATTTTTATTACAGAGATCATCTCTTAAAGCACGAAGGTCTATAATAAAAATCATTCTAGGTCTTAACTTCTGTGAGAATATTTTATCCTACTGCAATCCTGAACACTGAGACAAATACAGTTTCTGCCAACACAACAAATTTTATAACATAACTCTTAAAAATATTATTTTAAAAAATTTTTAAATATTATTTTCCTTTAAAATATAAAACTCAAAGATAATATTAAACTGCCAAGATACAGGTAAAGGTGATCATAAAATCAGGTTTCTAATCAACCAACCAAAATATTTTAGATGATTATGTTTCAGTGATAAGAAGTGATTATTCATCTATGCCACTGAATATTCAATAAGTAAATTTAAAGCAATAATTCCAAAACTGTACATAATTAAGACAAAAACTAGTGATAATTTTCTCTTCATTTTTAAGCCTGACAAATCTTCAAAGAAAAAATGTTTATTCCATTCAAGGTGGCCTAGTGGTATGAAACTGCACTACAATCCCAAAGGCATGCAGTTCGAATCCAAGAGCTGCTCCATGGGAGAGGGATGGGCAATCTCCTTTTGTGAGATTAGCTGCCTCTGAAAGCCTGGAGGAAGGGTCAGCTATGGGTCAGTTCCAACTCTATGGTACTCAACAAAGATTTTAAGATAGATTTTGCAGAACTAGTGAAAATATCTTATGGAACATTTCTTAGGACTTAGTGTGACAATATAACACAACCTAAAAATAAATTTTCATATAAAGGCTGATTTTAAACTTTAATATCATTGATCTAGGAATTTCCACTCACATTATCTTCATTTTCAATTATCAGGAATTATCTCTATAAAGCAACACAAATTCAGTTTTATACCTCATTCTGATATCTATACTATATTTGAAAACAAATATTATTTTTATTATTTAAACTTTTAGGAGTTATAAGAATAAATCTCAATGGTATTAATTAAATATTTATTTCTATAACTATTGATGGTAAGATATATTACAATAAAATCTAACTTGTCTAGAACTTTATCATTGGAAATTATTTACTCACTACCTCTTTCAGAACAATAATAATTTAAAATCATAATTAATGAAAAAATATGCCAAGATCCAAAGAATTTTCTGTGTAAAGCATTTCAATGGCAGGACTGTTACGTGTTTTTATATCATGACGTCAACTCTCTTCTCCTTTTCAAACTTGGAAACTGAGGCTCAGTGATCTGAGTGACTTTCTTAAAGTCATAGAGTCCCTTAACAAAGCCCATTTTTCTGACTCCGCCAATTATATATACTTTCTGCTAGGCCTCTTGGCAATTTTTCAAAAAATTTTAAAGGCAATTATTTTAAAACATTTGAGCATACTCAAATATTTTATACATAGTTGAAAAATCCCAATCTAGCCTTAGTTCATTAAAACTGTTTATTTTCTGTAAGACATGAACCTCCCAGAATTTCTTCATTAGAAAAGAACAATACAGCACAGGATTCAAAAGCAGAAATTCAGTAATTTCTTCTCAACTCTAAAAAATAATTAACAATATTTTTAAGGAGCAAAACTGGAATAAGAGTATAGAGGTAAATTACCGAAGGCAACTGTGGTAAAATTCTTTCTGGTGCTTTGTGTTTTTCTTTGCTGGGTGCTTTATCCTGTATGAAAAAATACAAAAAATAAACTGCTTATTTATTCTACTAAAGATCAAGCAAATCTGACAATGTCTACCGTTGTTGTTATGTGCTGTTGAGTCACCTGTGACTCACAGAAACCCTGTCTATGTACAGAAGCTCTGAAGCCTACCCTGCCCTGAGCTAGTCTCACTGATGCTGACACACTTGCCCCAATCCCCAATTCCCCCATTACTGTATCAATCTATCTCATCTGGGATATTCCTCTCCTATGCTCTCCCTCCACCCTTCCAAGCATGATGTCCTTCTCCAAGGACCAGTCCCTCCTGGCCACATGTCCAAAGCATGTCTACTGTAAAACTCATTTTATCTAAAATAGTCAAAAGTATATACTTTACTATTTATAATATTTACTGTTTATCTTCAAATGGTTCTCTTTATAGGAAGACAATAAAGGAAATAATACTTGGCAATACTTGTCAAAAAGCCTTATAATTGTGTCAATTCTTTTATCTACCATTTCTTCTTCTGAGAGTTAAAGAAACACTGTATTCAAGTTAATGCACTTTCTAGTTGCCATAAATAATGTTTCAACTTTTAACAGTGACATCCAGGAAAAAGTACCTCTGTCAGATTTGCATTAGACTATAACTCTAAAGTAGAAATTTCATCTCAGTAAAAGGAAGCATGGATAAGAATGATTCATCAATCCATAAAACTGATTATCTGGGCTTTGCTTCAGTTATCAATTTTCTCTTATCTCCAAATCAACCCCTTTTGCCTTCCTGTGTAATATGTGACTGAACTCTAGAAGTTTCTCTGCTTGGCTAATCAGCATAACCACACTGGTGGCCCCACAGTAATCAAAAGGTTGGCAGTTGACCTGCTTTTCTGGAAAGATATGACAGCCTGTTCTCATAAACATTTACAGCCCCAGAATCCTTTGGATGCTATTTTAAAGATTAAGATGTGTAACCCAAGCCCAGGTATTTACAACTGCTTTAAATGCATGTGAAAGTTGGGCAATGAATAAGGAAGGTCAAAGGAGAACTGATGCCTTTGAACTGTCATGCTGGTGAAGAATATTGAATATTGACTATCTACAGTTAAGGAAAAAATCTTAAACAAATCTGTCTTGGAAAAAGTGATGCCAAAGGGCACCTTAGAAGTAAGGATGGTGACACTTTGTTCGATGTATTTTGGACATGTTAACAGGACAAGCCAATTACCACACAAGGGCATGATGCTTGGGAAAGTGGAGGACCAGCAAGGGAGAATAAGACCCTCAATGAATTATATTGGCACTGGCTGCAACAGGGGGCATAAACACAGCAGAGATAAAGAAATGGTCAGGACTGGGCAGGACTTCATTCTGTCATATATGAGGTCTCTATAAGATGGAGACAATTCAATGGCACCTAACAACAACAACATAAGGTCACTGAGTTAGAGTCCACTTGATGGCAGTAAGTTTTCTGATTTTAAAATAATATTAAGTAGGAAAAACTTTCTTTCAAGTTTCAGTGCATCTTATTTCTTACTGTTATGGTGTGGCTGTGAGCAGTCCTTGTCTTGAATGAGGTGGACAACTCTTGGGCAACGGTACGTGGTTAACCCAGTGGCAGACACTTTCCAGAACTATAACATGGACAAAAGCTAACTGACTCACATCAGAATTCATATAAACATAGGACAATCTGTTGGGTCCTATCTTTTCAAGGGTGTGTGTGTGTGTGTGTGTGTGTGTGTATTCTATATTAAGAATTGAATGTGTTTGTATGCATGTATATTGGATATTTTTATCAACTACTTTTAATTATCCTAACATAGTCACCAAATATACATCAATATCTCCCTATGAAAATACCTTTCTTCAAGATCAAGACAAAGAATGTTTTCTTTTTCTCTCTCTTTCTTTTTATTTTAATTTTCTCTTACATTCAACTACGGATGGCCCCCAGCCCCTATCATTTGAATATACACAGCACTTTCCTGGCACGTGTTAGAAAATCAGATTTTTTTTTAAATTTAGTTTGTTTTATTTTTCATTTCAATGAACATCTACAGAGATTTTGGAATTCCATTCATTCATTGTTGCACCCTTCTCCCTGCACAAACCCCCCCCCCGTTT